AGGGAAGGGGCAGGACAGATTTCTCCCTTTGTTTTGCTTCTCACCCTAGTCCAGGGTCCCAGGGTGCCTGGCACTCAGAGGCTGTGCTCTTAATCATTTGTGGAATTAAATATGTGAATGAAAAGATAATTGGAAAATATACCCCTGCCATTCCCTGGGGATAGAATATAAATTCCCAGAAACAGATAAAACCAGTAATATTTTTATTGCTCACAAAAGCTTCAACCAATGTAATTTTTTTTTTAAAAAACGAATTTGCACCACTTTACACTGCACGAGGCCAGCTAACTTCGACAGTTTAGATAAATCCCGCTTGCACAGTCCTATCATCTCACCAAAACTGTGACAAGTAAAAAACTCTGAGATGTTCCAAAGTAAAATGACAGTGGCCCGGCCCGAGAGCGAGGGAGACAGAACAGCGAGCCTGCTCATCACTCGCTGACAAAGGCCGCTCCCAGAGCATCAGCAGAAGGTAGGATCAGCCTCCAGGTGGCTACTGCCGCCGTATCCAAGACAGAACAGCCAGGCCCTTCAGCCCCCAGGAGCTTCCGCTTCTGATTTGCACATGAACTTCCCAATCTGCTGCTCAGAGCTGATGCCCGGAGGAGACATTCCTTCCCCACGGCCTCCGCTGCGCCCACCCCCAGAACCGGCCAGGTGCCCCTCCCCCAACCCCCTCTGCCTACAGCTGGTGTGAACCGCCTCAGAACAACAGCTCAACAGCTCGCCTCCCTCCCCCTCATCTGGGATTCCCACCCAACCACGCTGCTGGTGGCGCAGACTCTGGGCCCCAACACCAGTCTTCTTTGTTTTTTTTGCTAGCAAGAGCCTAATAAACTCTTTCCTTTAAAAGTTACATTGGAAGTTCCGTTACTTTGTCTAACAGCTGTGAGGTGTCAGTCACACTGACCACTCACTACTTCCCCTAAGCAACGGGGAGCAAAGCTCTAGGCCCGGGCTGGACTCCAGCCAACGGCAGGCTACCAAGCTGACCCGGCGTGCGGAGGGGCCGGGGGACTCCGCGTGCTGGCACCGCCATCCCGGGGAATCCTGACTCCGCGCGTTAGACAGGACACTGCTGACGACTGTATCGGAAGCCCGGTGCCCAAGTGCAGAGGGTGGCGGCTGAACCGATGGGATGGGCAGGATGGAAGGGCCAGGAAAAAACGAAAGTGCGAGGGGAAGGGGGAGTTGGGAGTTAAACTTTGTGTCCGACACCGAAGACCTCCGGAAAGTGAGCTGGAGTGCGACACGGCTACACGTTCAAAGCAGCAAATGGGAATCATATCGATCCTGTCTTTTGGGCGAAAGAATAAACGAATGCGAAAGAACAGGAAAAGGAAATGAGGTGTGAGAAGGGACACGCTCGCGCTAACACTGTGCCCAACAGCTTTTCTCCGCGGACTGTAGGGGACACGGGGATGGTGTCCCATCCCTTGAACTTCACTAGAAACTGCTGTGATGACTAATTTCATTTAAAAAGTAGCGAGATGACTCCTAGATCACTTTGGCCTCTGGAAGTGACTGTAGACGTGGGGCGACGCTGGTTACTCCCGGCTCTCACTCCCGCTCCTGTTACTGAGATGTCCACGTTTCCCTGAGCTCGATGGAAAATAAAGCCCACTTTTCATAAGAACATAAACACCGTATTCCTGTTTTGGCTGACTTCTCCCCCAGTCTCTAAAGGAATACATACACCAAATAAAAAAAGCCAGACAAATCAATGCCTTTCACAGACGCAGACTGTAGCGCCCAAACGGGCCCTTCGCCCTCACAGGCTAAATCAGGCCACAGCGTGCAGCAGAGAAAGGGGGAAACGAGCTCGCGGACCTCCGCCGAAGCCCGGAGCCCGGAACCCGCTGGGAGCAGCACAGGACGCTGTGGGGACCTCCATGAGCTGGGAGAGGGCGTCAACTCAAAACGAACAGTGCCCGCTTCCTTCGGCTCCCAGCCCGGGCGCGTGGGGGCTTGGGAGCAGGGGTGCAGCTACAATTGTACAGGCTGCAATTTAAGAGATTATTTTGTCCCCCACAAATGAAACACTTAAAAAGTGGAAAACACTGTTTAAAGTCCGGTCCAACAGTGGCTTTCTGGATTTGTCGAGTAAAAATACGTTATCGATTAATTCCTGCTCTTACCTGGCTCACAAAAAAAAAAAAGGTGAACGTGGGAATGTGTCCTTGAAGGAAGCACCAACAAGAGTAACAGAGGCTGAGCTGTCAGGTTATTTCGAAAGGACGCCCCAAAGGTTTCTATTCTGCATTTCGACAAAATCGATACTCACAAATTACCCTTTCAATGCCAGAACATTTCTGAGTTGCAAATCAAACCAACTACTTTTAAAATTTAGAACCCAAGGAGAAAGATCTCCCAAATCTGTCTACAAAGGCGGGAGGCCAGGA